ATGGTTTGATTTATAATAGTTGTTTTTTTTTTTTTTTTTATGGCATATATATCTGGGATATCAGACTTCATTCTAAACATGTATTTTTCTATTTTGTGTTGTTTCTATTTTGCAACATAGAGATAAAATTACAGAGCAATAAATAAAATTTGATAAAATATGCATTTTAAAGAGCTTTTCATAAAAACAAGAAATGTAACAAAACTGGGCAAAGGGATGAGGGGGAAATGGGTAGGAATCTTTTTTTTTTTAAAGGAATTAAGAGTAAAGATTTTTAGATGCTGTTTAATGTATTGATTGAGAAGTAAGGGAAGATATAAAATTAGATATAAGGCATACAGACATATCTCCTAATCTCAGGAATAAACTGTGTTTTTGAAAATGTTTTAATAATCTTTAGTATACCAAGGGCGAAGATAATTCTTTTGTGGAAGGATCTTTTAGGTGAAAGTCAATAAAAATCTAAAAATAAGAAAAAATACCAGTTTTAATGGTATCATCAGAAATAGGCTATTTTGACTAGTAATATTCAGTCTTTTCCTCAAGTGTAGGTAAAGCTAGATTTCCCATTTCTTATTTTCCCATGATTTGAGTTCTTTTACTGTTCTTTTCAAAATACTTTTCAGTTCATACTCAGTCATGTTATTGGAAAAATGGACTTAAGGAGATGTTGAAAGCTGTTTATAAAAAGTCTCTGAACTGGTTCCTTCATGAGTGCCATTTTTATTGACTAATTTTAGGGATTTTTTTTAAATGGAAACTATTAAAATATAATTAAAATTTTCCATAAGTAAAATTACATAGGGAAAGGATCATAAGCAAATACATTACTAACAGTGGTTGTATTTGTGAAAGGACTTTGTATATTTTCTTTTCACATCTCCAAGTTTCCTTGTAATAAGATTTTTATATGTTTTTAACACCAATAGCCAATTTATTTTTAAAAGTAATACTCCTGATGTAAGAATCAGTCTTAAAATTTTCTAACGTTGTCTTATTTAATCTAGCATCTACTGGATTTTTAAAATATACAGTACATTTTTAAAATATACCACTTCAAAGTAGGATGTAATTAAACATAGTATTGCAAATCTCAAATAATACACTTACACTTGATGCCTCTGCCTTGGCAGCGAACCTGGCTTATCTTGGTAGTGATAATGCTGCTTCAGTCTTCATTGTAAGCCCCTTACAGGTACTGCCTCACCGCGATGGGTAGAGTCATTACTCCTTAGTAGGATGCTTAAATTGCAAAAGACAACTTCTTCAGGAAGACACCTTGAGTCATGATAACACATCTCGTCTTCACTATCAGCCTTTTCTGATTTTAGAAGTACTCATGGAACCTGAAAATTACTTGTCCGCTGGTGGGTTTTGTTTGTTTTTCAGATTCAACACTAAAAAGTAGTGAGACACTAAGAGTAAATGATAGCTGCACTTACCAAAGGTTGTCCTTAAATGATTTTGGAGGGAATTCACTACTGTGTTATTAAATTGAGAATTTTTTTCTTCTACAATCATAGATCTGTAAAACAGTCACTTTTTAATATAGATCTTGTTATTTACCACATTAATGCAGCTACAAAGCTTCTGCATTTATTAATTAATACATCTATTCTACATTAATCCAGCCATCTAGTGAGAGAAATCTGCGTCATAGTGTCCTGCCACAGTCCCCCAGAGCGTATTATCTTGCACCTCATCTGTGAAGCCTAGAAGAATGGTTTATTGTAAGGTTCTGTGTTAAGTAGTACAATTGAAATCACAATGTTTTAACAATTATTTTATATAAATGCATTGGATGCTTACATCATAACTATAGTGTGCTAGACAGTGTATCACATCAAGGTGTTTTGGGGGGGATTTCTCACCTGTCGTGTCAGCATTGTGTCACAGTCATGAGATCATGGGAAGTCGGGTAAGTAACTAGACGTGTGTTCTTCATGTTAGCATTGTAGTGCCACAAGAATAGATGGCGTGTAGCTGGTACCTCACCCCACAAGCATTCACATGCCTAACTCTTGGTTATCAAGTGCTGCATGTTTTGTGATACCCCATCCAAAAGAAGTTTTTCTCTTGTTATATCTGAAAATGCATTTTCTTCATCCTACAGCGAATTTTAAGAAGTAATTTTCAGCAACTTCAAATAAAATGGACCACCACCACTTGGACCTGTTTTAAAACTACCCCAAACATTTATAGTATGTTGACTATTCCAGTATGTGGGTTCCCATGTGCTTCAAAAACGTTTCTGTGGTTCACCAGATCACTGTGTTAATGGAATGTGAACTTGGTAAAAGTTCTAGGACAAAGGTAAGTGATAGGTATGCCATTGTATAAGGTTGGGTCAGAACTTGGGTTAGCTACCTCCCTTATAAAACAAAGACAAACATCCCTTGCTGTATAGTAGAAAATACTTACATTTTTATCCAATTTGACACCAATAAATTGTTTTCCATGGTTCCAGTATTACATGTTACACACAGATTTTGGCTTGTAATTGTCATGATCACTATTGTATAAAGGAAGAATGTTTTGTGGGAGTGATGTAGAGTTTAATTATAAGGTTTTCACTTCTCAGAGCAGCTTTCCTAAAAGAGGAACTCTGAACTTGGGACAAATATTGGCATTTCCTTGCCCTTACCTTTTTTCTGTGGTTCAGCTGTCTGTATAATTTCTCGTAACAATTATTGCAGGTGTGTCTCCAATAATCAATAGACAATTTAAGAGTGGGTGGGGCCAGGTGTGCACCTTTCTGTTGCAGGTAGCGTTTCCTCTAAACTTGTTACCATTTTGAACACTGGCAAAATGAAATGCTTCAGGTTGACTCGTGACATTTTGAAGCTTTGACTAGAAAGTGGAACTGAGCCTATATCATCACCTTGCCTCACTAGCAGCAGCAGCAGCAGCAGCAGCAGCAGCAGCCCCACTCAGCCAAGTCTGAGGATCTCATCAGATGAATTCCTGCTGAGAAAATAGGAGGTGGTTTGCCAGTTTGCAGGTTTGCCCGTTGACTCTCGGGTTAGTCACCCCTTTTCTATTTAGGAGCATTCTGTTGCAATTTTATTTTTGCTACAACTGAAAATACTTTGGCATAGCTACTTTCATTACTATTTCTTTTTTCCTTAATTCAGACATACCTTTCAGCTTAGAGTAACTGTTAATTGACTCGCACAGAATAGCAATGCCATTTGGTTACCTTTTTAAAAATGGAGTCATAATTTTTTCAGTGACATTTGGAGACACAACGACAATATAAACAAAAAACCTAACTGTACAAAACTACTGCTTGTACCTAAAACAATGTTTTGTTGTTGTCATTTTAGAATGTGAGGAAGGAAGATCCCAATAATTAAAATTTATTTGAGATCAATTACATATTCGATTGTTTTGTTTTTGGAGGGAGGGAAAGATTTAACCCAGATTCCCTGGGTAAAGCACAAATATAATTAAACTTGAGCAAATCTTTAACAATGTTGTTGGTTTCTTTAACATGTGACCACTTTGGACATTTTTATTTCCATAATATTCTTACGTAATGAAAGATTTTTCTTGATATTTCTTAAATTTCAGAGATTCAGCTGCAATAAGTCTTATGATGTGACTGACACTGTACAAATGTAAAAAATGAAGGTGTAGGAGGTTACTTTTCACCAGAAAAAGGATTTTTTGGGTTTTTTTTTTCAGTGAGTTATACCAGTTGTCCTGGGAAAGAGAATTATAATCGAAAGGAATGACAATTAGTGTAAGTATTCATTACATTATTTTGTGTGTGTGTGGTTTTAATTCATACTTGACTGAGCAGTTAGAGAAGACCATTTCTAGATACTCTAATCAAATGAATAGGCATCTGTACGTACACACTCACACTTGACCCTTAAAGTCCCAGAATTTAAATAAGCATTAATTTAATAATACCTGAGGTTCTGTTTTTATTTGTATTTCTGGAGCATCTACTGCCTTATATATTTTGGGGGTTTGTTTTTAAGCTGAATGAGCACAAAAGTCAAAAATAAACATCTAGTTACATTTAACAAGTGTAGAAACTAAAATTAAAGCCTCTGAGTGAGACTTGTTAATACAAGAGTTGACTACATTCAATATTAGGGACATTTAGATATTGAGTCTAAAATGGAAAGAAAAAATAACTCCTATGGTCCCTGGATAAGAGAGCTTACTACTTAAGTTTTCTTCACTTGTAAATACAGAATAAAATTCTATAAAAGATACTTTCAGAAACACGTCGATTAAATTTTGCTTTAACTATACTTCAGCTCCAGATTTGATTTTAATATATATCATTGGGTTGACCATTGCCTATGACTAGGGCAAGTCTCACAGTAGGTACTTAATCAGTATACCACAAAACAAAGTCATTTAAAGAATGTCTAAATTCAGATTTTTCTTGTGCTATTCAGAATGGTTCAAAAATAATTTGGAATCCCTGCAGAATCTATTAATTTGAGTCTGTGGAACAGTACCAAAATGAACCAGAAGTACTAGGTTCTTTTTATAGAAGAAAAAAGTTAAAATATGCATTTCTTATGAATTATCATAGTTTGGAATATGAATGACCTTCAATGAATTAACTCACTAAAAGATACTGGGGAAAAGATATCTTAAAATATTTGCATGGCAAATCTCTCAAAACTAAAGTTAAACAGCTTTGTAAACCCCCCACATAGGGGAAAGAAATAGTTAAAATTCTACGAGACATAGTTTCTTGTTTTTAGTCTGTGAATGTAGCAGTTTCTAAAGGCAAGGAAGAGTCCTCTGAATATCACTTTCATGCCTCCAGATTGTTCTTACTGGATGCTCCCCCCTCTGAAGGTATTGAGTTTTATACAACAGTCCAGGATTCAAGGAAAGCCTTGCTTGTCCAAACAGAGCATCATTCCATCACTCCTCTCTCAGCCACCCACCCTGCTCCCCCAAAAAAGAAAAGGAGTACTGATTATACTTAGAAAAGATTTTTTTTTGTATTTAATGTGGTGAACGTATATAGTTAACATTACTATTGAACTAAACATCTGTAATTTCATAGAATGAAACAAATTAGTCATCTGTTAATGGTTACTATCCACTAGGTACATCTGAGGTTGTAGAATATTGGGCATGTAGACATTTGAGTAGACACTGTCAGCAGGAAACATAAATCTCACACAAGATGTAATCAAAAGTTATTTCAAACAAATTATCCTATCAATTAACTTTCTGTAGTAACATCAGCTTCATGGAGTATTATGTTTTAGCAACAAACAGTGATGGTATGTGGATGTGAGCATGTCATTACAAACATGATGCAGTAAATAGAGCATATTGAGGTCACAGCCTTTCTGTAGAAAGGGATTTAATTGACAATCTTTCAACCATAGTGTATAAACATCAAAATAGTTCTATCATAAGAAATAGTATTTAACAACATAGCTTTAAAATAAAAATACTTTAAAAATCAGCTTTAATGAGATTAAGTTTATTTTTAAAGAATCTTTAGAATGAAATATATATTTCTTGCTTTTGGTTTTCCTACATTTTCCCAGCATAACCCCTACCTTCACCCTATCCTAGTCTATTATTAATAAAGTAGTGCAAAACATTGCAGCAATTTCAACCAAACTTAGTGCCCTACCAATTCGGGGCGAAGTAAGACATTCTCACCAAATTATTTCTCTTTCCAGAGGTACACTCCCTTGATATAACAGGAAGCCAGGTAGAAAAACTACCGTAAGAATCTTGGGAATGCAATTTTTTAAATATAGATTCTATAGTAAATAGTGAAACATTTTTAAAGGCAAACTTCCCCACCCCAGAAGCAGTTTATTTTACAAAATAGATTTTCATGCATTCATATTATCAACAATGATTATTTTTTCTATAAATGAATGTAATGAAACACTGGCATATCACATAACACTGCATTCTCCTCTACATTAAAATTCACACTAATACAAAAATCATAGTATGCACTAAAGCATTTCAGTAACCTAATGAGACAGCAGATACTTTATTTTTCTGTGAGAACACTTGAGTATTAAGTATTTTTAGATACACAGGTATAATCTGACAACAAAAGCAATATGAATGTAATTTGCTAGTATGTTTGACTACTGAAATTCTGCTAAGTTGCTAACTGGGTACAAATTAAAGTAGTAGTAGATATAAAAATTCAGATAGGCAATTATAAACCTGGCAGTATTTATGTGTAATCCAGTAGAGATATTAAGGTTTTAGATGGAATGATAGAAGATTTGGAAGTTATATTTGTAGGATTTCAGAGTGTAGAAGATTCTTTTGAGGGGGTGAATATACCTTCGCTCATTAGCTTAAAATCAGCTTAGTGATATCTAAATACTTTGCTCAGGAATAAACATTGGGATCTGAAAACAGAATTTATGTTAAATTGAAATACATCTGTTCCATTATTCACGTTTTGGGACTCCCGCCCCCACTTTTGAAATGTATAAAACATAGAAAACTGTAATGAATTACTTTTCAGATAAAAATAGTCACATTTAAAAAAACTTTAAAATCAAATGGACATTTACATGTTATGTTGATTTAATCAGAGCAAAGCATTTAATCTAATCTAGTTCTTCCATGTGCGATTAGGGAGTGTTATCTCCCAGTGTATCCATTCTTCCATTTGTTGATCCAATGTGTCATATTATTGTCCACAGCTAACAAGGCTTTCACACAGCAGTAAGTAAACCTTTATCAAATTGATTCTGTACAATGGAAGTATATTTTCAAAGACATATGCCCTTGTACACTATTTACAAATTCTCTTGATCATGATAGGGAAAAAAAGCAAAATAAATAAAAAGCAGAAAGAAAGGAAATGCTGCTGAGGCTTGAAGGCTTTTTCTTTTATCTTCCCAAACAGATGCTAGGCTCCTCCGAGCTGGGAGCTGGCTAGCCGAGGTTGTTTTTCTTCCTTTTACATGGGCTATGAGAGGGATCTGGTTTCAGCTCTTGGTATTGCACCTGTTTAAACAGAGTTCAGAGAAAGACTGGTCAGGTGGCCACTTTCTGGCAAAGGAAGGAAAAGCAAAGGAATGAAAGACTGCTTGGAGGAAAACAGTGCTCACTGGAAGATGTATGACATCTGCAGCTGGGATGCTGAAAACAATAGAATGATACAGCAAGAGATGGAAGGGAAATCCTGCCAGAAACTACCCGCGAGCCCTGATGTGAACTTTGGTAACAGACTGGAGTTTTCACTGCCCATAAGACATTCAAAATGGAAACCATCTCCATCTATTTATTCTGAAGGGACAGATAATGGTTCTTTGCAAGTTATTGTTTTGTTAACATAGGTTTAATCTCCATCCAGCTCACCCTCATGTCTGCTACTAAATCAAAAACTCAACTGAAACAAAGGAAAAATGTAAGTGTAACACAGCTTCAAGATTTTGATAAAATCATTTTTCATTTTACTCTGAAAATAGTTGATGATTAATGGACAATAATTAACCTCAAAGGATGTTAAAGAATTGAGGTGTGCCATAGTCTTCAAAAAGCCATCACTCTTCCCCCCTCACCAACTCCAAAATATGCACCTTTAAAATTCATTTAATTTGTGCAAATTGTGCAAAGAAGTGTTTTTCTCCCAAGTGTCCACTGGCACACTTGGCTTTCATCATCTGATATTCCCATTTCCTCCCTTCCGGTAATGGTGACCTCCCTTTAGAGACCCCAGCTGAACCTCCCTTGGATACTTGCCCCTGACGGCTCTGGTAGGTTCTCTGTGCAATCCGCCCTCATTCCCCATTCTTCTCTACAAGTTCTAGGTTAGCTCTCCAAGCAGGCTAAGTTTCTGAATGGCAAAATCTGCCACAGGGTTTATTAACTTTACCTGTCTCCTCTTAAAAGGATATAAAAGTTAAAAATTAATGGTACACTAAATCAAAATAATAATGAAATCTACATACCACTTGTACATCTGAAGGAACTCTGGAAAGGAAGTCAAGTAGTTCGTTGTTGTCAATTGCATAGGGACATCGAAGTTTTTTTGTAAATTTATTGATGCCTGAAAAAGTAGCAGATCCAACATTATTGAAATCTCCAAAGTCTGGAACTACAGAAAACACATTTCCGGCAAATGTATCAAAGTGATTCAAAGACCAGATTAAGCAGTCCTTTAGCCTTGACCGAATGAACCAATACACCCAATTTTCTCCCTCCTTCCTTCCATTCCTTCCTGTCTCTTCGTTCCCGTCTCTCCTTTTTTTGTCCCTTTCCTCTCTCCTTCCCATCCCAATGGCTGCTGTTTTTCTCTTTGTACTTCAGTGACTTCCTTTGCAGAAAAAAGGCTTTCTATTTGAGAAACAAAAGGCACCTGGCAAGAATGAGCAATGGCCGTATTTGCTTTTACCCCTCAGTGTTACAGATTGGAAGCTTTGCTTTAGTGTCCCATTAGAGATGGAACTTGTCTTTCTACATTTTGGACTGAGATGGTCTTTAAGGCAAGAAGTCTTATTTATTGGTTTCCCGTTTTTCAAAAGATAAACTTTTTCTGATTGTGTGTGCATACACTGTATGCATGCTAAATGTTCAGAAGACACTTCACCTTGTTTATTTCAAAACAACTTTAAATGTGTATCATCTTTGAGCTAGGACCTAAATAGACATTTATCCAAAGAGGGCATAAAGATGGCCAACAGGTACATGAAAAGATGCTCAACATGACTAATCATCAGGGAAATGTAATCAAAACCACAATGACATATCACTTCCCAACTGTTAGAATAGTTATTATAAAAAAAGGAGGAAGTGTTGGCGAGGATGAGGAGAAAGAAAATCTTTGTGCACTGCTGATGGGATTGCGACTTGGTGCAGCCACTACAGAAAACAGTATGAAGCTTCCTCAAAAAATTAAAAATAGAACTACAATATCATCAGGCAATCCCACTTTTGAGTATCTGAAGAAAATGTAAACACAAACTCAAAAATATATGTACACCTATGTTCATTTAGCATTATTTATAATAGCCAAGATACGGAAACAAAATTGTCCACTGATGGACGGATGAAGAAAATGTGATATATGTATACATATTTATACATACACATATAATTGTTATTCAGCTATAAAACTGAATGAAATCTTGCCATTTGTAACTACATGGATGGGCCTTGGGGCATTATATTAAGTGAAATAAATCAGACAGAGAAAAACAAATACCGTATGATCTCACATGTATAACCTAAAACTAAAACAAGCTCATAGATATAAAGAACAGATTGGTGGGGCAGCTACCAGAAGAGGGGGTTGGGTGGTGGGTGAAAGGGGTCATAAGGTACAAATTTCCAGTTATAAAATAAATAAGTCATGGGGATATAATGAACAGTATGGTGACTTGTTAATAATATCACAGTGCATATGTGAAAGATGCTGAGAGTATATCTTAAAAGTCCTCATCACAAAACTGTTTCCATTTCTACATCTCCGGCATTGGGATTTTTAGAAACCAATTTTCCTTTTAAATTACACAAAATATACATTTAATGCTTGCAAAAGATGCTGCCATGTTTGACTCACTTGGATCACTTCTTGGATTAGAACGGCCAAGAAACATGAGCGACAAACTATCTACCCATACTAAATTATTCAACAGTTCATCCTCTGTAATACCTCAAGAGTCAATGTGGATAAAGGGTCACCGCAGGTAGAACTGGAGCTATTATACAAATAAAAAATTTAAAGACATAGGAATGCCAAAATAATGTATAAAACTAGAAGTATCTCTCCTATGTATTCCATAGCATAATGTAGAATTTCAATGGGATAAGTCTATTCTTTTAAATTTATATTTCACTTAAATTACCAAACCTCTGCATATAAAATATATGACTAAAGAGCTTGATAAGAAATCAACAGTCTAGTAGAACCTAGGCCGTACACTAGAGCATCTTGGCTCTTTTTTAGGGTGTGCAGCAGAAAAATTTTGTTCTGCAATCGTGATTTTTTTTCCCTGTGTCCCTATGTGAGACCCATCTGAACTTTCTGGTTAATATTTCAGCAATCACCTACCACTAAAGATATACTGTTCTTGCTTTATTTCATTGGATGAAATAAGGCCCAAACACATTCTCTAAAAATTACGTTTAAGACAGTGAGCCAGTGAGGCTGCCCCAGGTTACACAGCCAGATGTCCACCATGGGCTCCAGTTTCTGAGAACCTGGGAAACAAAATCAGGGGTTCGCCGCAACTGAGATGGCAGGTCTGACCCTAGGTTGGTTAGAGGCAATAAACTGCCACACTTCACGCCCTACCCTAATTCCTTCACTAAAACAGCATCTGTTTTAAATATCAGAAGAGGGAATAAAAGAGGAGGGCTTGAACATACAATAAGGAAATAAGAACATGGTAGAAAATGCCTCTTCCCTAGCATGGTGAAAGCACTGTCTTAGTTGAAACTGTTTCTTTAAACTATAGAAATTAAGAAAAGGAAAAATAATAAGCATTCCCCCTACCCTTCTCTCCCTACCCCGGATACAAAGGTAACGTCAGTTATGGTGAAGGTTAAGAGGCCTTAACTCATGATATGAAAAGAGGCCAAAAAGAACAGGGAGATAAGAATCTTAAAACTGGAGGGCTTGGAGACATCAGACCCCCTCCTCACTTTATTCCAGCGTATTGCTTTAAAAGCCTTAAAAAGAAAACAACGAAACAGTCTCTCTGATCTTTCTGCTTTCAGCGTAAGCATGTGTTTTCTGGAGTTAAGACCCATTTTGGTTCTTTGTTATTTTGCATAGGTTTAGCAGTCTTAGATATATGGAGGCCAAGGACAAGTGGAGAACTTTCCTACCCATCTACCCATTTGTACACGCACACGCACGTGCATGTGCGTGTGTGTGTGTGGTTAATTGTTGTACTTTTATATATTAGTTAGTCTTGGAGGTTAAGAATTGAATTTTTCAAACCAAGAACTTTGTCAGATGGGGGGAAAAACTCAAAACTAGGAATAATGCTGAAACTTGGTCCATGAGAATGATTGGTCTGCAGCATAATTGCATTAAAAATTAGGACCCCAAACTATCACCTTTAACTTGGGTTTTTGCAGAAGCCTTCTTATTTCAGACACATCAAACAGGTTTCTTGTTTTTGAGCAGCCTGGCAGTGCCAAGGACCCTTTCCCTGCATCCTAAAGGTGACCTCTTAAGCAGGCGGCCATATATAGTACCATGTTTGTGGACACCTCCACAAGACAAAGTACCATAGCACAAAAGCATATTGTCCTAAATGCACCATATGGATCAAAATGCCTCTGTTTATGTTTAAGTGGTAAAAATAAATCAGAGTGATATCTAGAGAAGCTACTCTTTGATATATGAAGAATCTGCACAACTACATGTTTATAGTATGATGGAGCCTATGGTGCCAGACAAGAAAAATGCATTTTGCAGGTAGACCTAAATCTTTATACTGTTGTGATTTTTAACCAACCTGTCTCTTTTCATCATGGAGTAGCTTCATGACCGTAAATATAGGAAACTACTGACAGTGTAATTCATCCCTTAAAAATAGTTTGTTCTTAGCAGCTAAGACAGTTAAAAAATAAAATAAAAAAAGGTTTTACTTACCCCACACAAGGACAATGTATCTCAGCGGAATGAGATACAGGATGACTGTGAACACACAGAGGGCTACGATGGCCAGCCAGCTTAAGAACGGGACCGTCCAGTTGAAAGTACTGAATGAGAAATTAACACATTAGCAATCTGGCATTTCTTATCAGACAGCGAGGAAGGCCCCAAAGACACCTAAGGAAAATATGAAAATGTATGTCTTCTAATTTCCTGGTAATATGTGTTATATTCGCTTGGGGTGGAGTTCATCCTGGACAGTTTTTGCTCTAAAAAGGATGATCGTTAAGAGGTTTTCTTCCAAAACTGTACCTCAACATAACACTTAGGAGTTATTCCTTAGCAATGAAGCATGTGGCTTGCTTGTTGTGTCTCTCTAGGTCAAATGTGTCCTAATTTTTTTTTTCTTTAAGTAAAAGAACCAAAGTTGAATCAATCTGATTGTCTTGTTTTCAGTTACTCTTAAGGTCTGGCTTTTCTCTCTTTGTCTTTTTCCTTTGATGGCCAGAGTGAGAGTCCTGTAGCTGTTGCCAGGTGAAAGATCATGGCTTCCCTCCCTTACTGCCACCTGTGCTTCCCTTGGTTCTGCTGTTTGTGGAGAGAACAGAAGGCTGAAGGTCTGCTTGCTTTGCTGTGGCTCAGCTCAGAGCCATCTATCACACTGTCCCAAGTGTGAGGGCACTGGCTCTTCACTCAGAAAACACTCCTGGGCAGCTTCTCTGAAGGGCTCCCTGTGTTCCTTCTCTTGGAAGAATAAATATCAAAGAATCTTCAGCAGTGTACCTAATGTTAAAGGAAACAAAACTGCCCTTTTCTATTCCCATAATGCATTATGGAATCTAAATCTAAACTATGACACCTGCCCCTCCCAATAAGGAGATGCAATTCAAGAAACTTCTGGAATGAATATAACAAGATGTGGTAATTATAGAGCCTTTCACTTTGCACTTAAAGACTGCTTCTGAATCTGCTTTCTGGATAGATATTCCATGTGACCTATCTGGATAGCTATCCCATGTGACCCTAGCGGAATTTCTCTTTATTTTAAATATTCAAAAGATTATTGTGCAGAAAAGATAGCTCCTACAAGACTCACTGGATCCTACGCCATGCTTATATACCTCATCCTATACTTACACATGTATCACTACTATACCTATGGTAAGTGCTTCAAAACCCAGTTTACCCCAAAGGCTGGTCCACGGTCAGGTTCTAGTCATAATCTTCAACTGGCCATGATGTTTTCCAGCCAAGCACTTGTTCAGAGGTCTCCTTACACCCAGAGCTGTAAAGAAACCTCTTCCCCTCAGGCATTCACTAGGTTGACCTAAGCGCTGACCGAGCATCCTCTGTTATGAGATGCTGCTGTCAGGTATCAACACACAGTGTACCTCAGAGAGAGGACAACACTCAATAGGGAAATGCCCTGCTTAGGACTTGCCCCTGTGTTTCAGTGGACAGAATGAAGAAAGCAGGGGAACTTTCCTAGAGATGGAGAAAAAACATATCAAATGGAAGAAGGAAAGAGAAAAAGATGGGAATCAATTTTCGGAAGTCTGAGACTGAATGTTGCTTAGAGGCACATTTGGGAGTGAGTGGAAGGCTGTTTTGTCTAATATGCTATGAGAAAGGAAACAGCATCTATGCATGTGTGGAAATGTATTAAACAAAAACTTATATGAAATAAGATGCATTTAATCCCTTGAAACATGAAAGGCACCACATGAACGACTTACACCTTTAGTTTAAATAATTTACTTCTCTCAAATTCTATGTATGCCCAAGGAGCCAAAGCTGCAGAACACCTTTGGTTATGAAAAATAAGCAATGAATAGATATATGAAACTGGGAAAAGGTAGGCTTAACTGGATATAAGACGCCCTTCCTTGACTAGACCATTTAGCAATCATCATGTAGACCAATTTTACATAGTTTAGTAGTATGGGGTCTTGGTATACTTTTTTACTGAAAAATCAATTGTTGTAAATCACCTTATTGTTTTTATAATAAACAGTTGTTTTTAAAACTGTAGTAGTAAAAGGAATTATTTGAAGTAAAACATGAGTACTATAAAATTAAGAAAGTGTAAGTTCCATAATTTTTCATTAGATATCAATGAAGTTATATGTCCTTATTTTTAAAAAAAAAATTGAAGGTGATTCTTCTTAATTTTTTAAAAATTCTGTGCGCTTTTAAATGACAAGCCTTATTTAATCTATAATTGTGATCTCAGCTATATAAATACACAACTTTGAAAGTATACTTTGGCAAGGTGCTATATATAATATGATTTTTAAAAAAATTTAGAGTAACTTGGAAAAATAACCCAACCAGTAATATAAGTGTCTTGATTACCTGAGACCCTCATTTCGTTTCGTTTAGTTTTTCTATCACAATTTCATATTCTGTTTAAGAACAAAGTCTTTTACTGTGAAAATGTGCTAAAATTTAGGACCATGTTATTTCTTCAAAGCTACAAGTATGACTTCTTTCCAACCAATATGTTCTAAATTTCAGAAAGGAAATTGACAGAACTTTCTTAAAACCAAAGACTGGCAGAAACAGTAAATAATGATGAAACCAAGCAATAGATCACCCAGAAGGAGTGTCCCCTGCCAAAAACAATGTGGCATTTCACCCTCTGAGAAACAAATGGACACTCTGCCCCACAGAAGGCCGAAGCTCACATGTCAGCATCACTTACTTCTTTATCCTTTCGCCAAAGGAAGCCACTTCATCTAGGATGTTCTGGACACTGATACATACCTCCTGGATGGCATAGATTTTATTTATAAACCCCTTTTTTTCACTGTCCTAAAACATAAAAAGAGAGGTTATGTATGAGTAATGTTATTCTTTAGTGCTTGAATTCTTTGACTTGTCTTTTACATTTTTAAACTTAAATAAACTTTATGTCTGCATATACAGGGAGCCCGAGAATTTCAGGATACAAAGGGAGGTGGAGGAGGAAGAGCAGCCAGCATTACAGTGTGCTAGTATAAAGGTGGCTGCAAAGCAGGAGACTCGGATTCTGTTGCTTCTGCTCTGATGAAGAGAAATATTTCAGCCAGGGGGAGGCAGGATATAAAGGTGTAAGAGAAGTCATGTCTCAGGATGACCAAATCCAGAATCTATGCTGACCCTGGACCCACCACGACTCACAACTTAGCAGACCCAGTTTTTTTTACCCTACCCACACACCTAAGTTTGGTCTTAGCTCCAGATATTTCAACAACAGAGAATGCTGGATACAAATGAAAGGACTTGTGAGGAATGAAAACTGCAAAAACATGACACGGTCAATGGAAATCCATCAAGTGGACACTTCTTAGTACCTTACATAGATGATATAAACAGCAAGCCCGGCCCCCCTAGAGGAACAATAGTCACAGACTTCATACAGTAGCATATGCTGTGTTAGTCAGGGCTCTAACTTAACATTCCCCCCGCCCCCCCGTACTTAGTTTTTCATTTTTAAACTTATGCTGGATTTACGCAAACTGGTGTGCTCCAGGGAACAGGTGGATGGGGATTGAGTATAAAGCACCCAGAGAGTGGTGTGAGCCTGGGGGAGGTGTGTACATTTTGTAATTTTAGACCCAGAGGAAGAAATAGTGGTGGCCTTTCACGACTGAAAATTCTGCTTAGTAGCCTGGCATCACAGGCCCTTGCCTAGGCTGTCTGGTGGAGACTATCCAACCCCGATTCCATGACTCCATTCCTCCATGCCAGCTTGAATATCTATGAAAATGTAGATCCAATTTCATTACTTTAACTTCTTTTGAACACTTGTACACTGTGCCAGAACACTTGAGACCTCACGTGGCAGTTACTGCTTGCTGAAAGCAGCCAGGAAGCTAGAATAATAATGTCGTCATGTTGCACATTTACATACTGACTTTCATTTCAGAAGAGTCTAAAGCACTTTGCACTGGGAACACTTGGCTGAGGCTGGCATCCTGCCGCCTTAGAAACCTGGGGCAAGTGAGTGACAGGTGTGCTTGTGGCGTCCAAGGATAACAAGGTGCGGTGGCGCTGAGGACATGGAGGCCAGTTCTATAACATGATCTTTAGATGCCAGAACATAGGTCCTTTGTTTTTAATTTGGTTCCCATGGGAGATACTGCCTACATTATTCATCTTGCTTATGCCACAATGGACTAGCAGACAACGAGGCAGATGAGATGCATAAGGCTCAGGGTATAAGGGAAAATTACGTATTCTCAGAGTCCCCAGTATCTTCAAAAGTCATCCTTCTTTTGTCATCACAGATGGGTTCATCAATTTCTTGACTTTTTTCCCTCCCCAGTAATAAAACAAAACGTGGCATTTCACTGACTCAGTTTTACACATTAGAATAAAATGGGTAACCAGTGACTCTTTCTAGTTCCTTTCATCATTACGGAATCGGTCTGCTCTAATCATCCCCATGGTTTTCGGGGTTCTCTCTCAAGCACTGGCTAAGTTCACTTACGCCTATGAAGTAGAGTGCTCTTATAAATATTTTTCCACATACAGAATAAATCAAGCTGGAGCCGAAGCAGGCTAGTTATACAATGAAAGTTCATGGAGAATAACATCTTACCAGTTTGAAATTAAGATGTGAAAAATATTTCTTTCACAATAGCAATAAAGTATATAAAATACTTAGGCATAACCTTAACAAGAAATGTTCAGAATCTATATAAAGGAAACAGACATACTGTGTTTCTGCACTGGGACACTGAATATTAAAAGAATGTATTCTTTTTTTCAGTTGCATATACAGGTTTAATGCAATTTCAAGCAAATCGCAATGTGTTTAGAGTGAAATGTGAAAATTTGATAAAGTGTATTTGCAATTTGTTTGGCAGAATAAAGTGAGACTAAGCAAGAAATTTTTGTAAAAGAGAAATAATGAGAAGGCATTTATTGTACCAGATATTTAAGTCATTAAAATATGAAAGATGAACACTGAAGGAGAGATTGGTGTGTGATAAAGCACCATCATAAATCCATCATAATGTTACTGGTAATTGTGTTAACTATTGGCAGAAAATTATGTTAGATCCTACCTTAATAGATTCTCCATTCTATTTGTAATAGCTCAAAACTACCTTAGCATTTCCCTCAGACAGATAGCCTCAATACATTCCAGACTGATTAAAAAGCGAAAAGCTAAGCAAATTATAAAAACAAGAAAATATAGGTAAGTTATTTACCGACCTTGGAATAGGAAAGAACTCACTAAACATACATGCACTAAAGGAAATCACAAAGGAAAATAACGGATAGCAAAAGTTACATAAAATTAAAAATATGTCAAAAGTCATAAATTTAAAAGGCTAAGTGGGAAAAACATTATTTGTCATATTTGTCAAATCAAAGGGATAGGATTTCTAATATAGTCAATAGCATCTGAAAAAACTATTGTAGTTTTGTTTTTAATAACAAAGAAAAAACCACTAACATTATGGTACATGCAATTGATAGACATGAAATCACAAAATATTGTTTAAAGAGAATATTTAATGAAAACAAATGCTTGTAGTCTAATAGAAATTAAAAAAGCAGAAGTGATATAAAGTATAATCTTAACTTTTGTTTTTTTAAATGAGCAGGTTGGAAAAAGGGTGAAGAGGATATGTCAAAATATTAAAAGTAATGGAAGTTTTCTTCATACTTTCCTGTAATATTCATTTTTTTTGCAATTAATGTGTTTTACTTTGATACTCATATTCTCCGATATCACTATTAAAGGAGCGTGGGTAGAAGAAATAGATGAATTGGTACTTATTGAGCATGTCTTACATGGTTTATTTACCTTTTTTTCTTACATTATTTTCATACCTATCTTAATTATTTTTAGAAAGAGGTAGAATATATGTAGACACTCACTGAGCACTGTAAAGTGCTTTTCACATAGTTCATTCAATGCACACGACCTTTCTATAATGTATTTTACTTCAGTGTACAACTGAGGCTCAGAGAGGACTGACAGAGCTTGGATCAGAATTACAACTGGCCAACTCCAGAGTCTGTCCAATGTGTACCATGAGATCCTTCCATTCTACTCAGGAAGGCTTCAGTTCCTATCCAGAATCCAGCTACACAAGAAGGCAAGACTTGAAAGCATTTAGAAACTTATATTGTAAATGCTGTGATCAGCAAGAAAATGAACTCCAAAAACAATTCAGTAGTGGGAAGTGAAAGGTGTGATAGAAACCACTAGATTTCATTTCAATACAGGGGTGGGAAAAGAAGGTTTACTGTGCCATTGTAACATTCTTCTGAATTCATAGAGCTATTGTAATAATCATAACTTGTATGTCTTTCCCATATAAACAACTGTAAACCTCTTTTTGCCCACCCCTTTGTTACTGTGTGCTAAGGCAGTGAGCCATGATTAAATGTAAGACCTACATGAATAAGAATAAGATGTGTTATTTAAGGCATTTCTAAGACCATATGTAGTAGATACTTTAAAATCTAAAGTGTTGATATATAATTATTGGCTAAGGAGCTTTAAAAATCTGCTCATTCTTTTCTTTGCTTCTTCTGCACTTTCACCTCATCCCATAACCCCTCACCCATGGCTACCAAAAAACAAAATGAGATAGTCTGCAATATTGGCCAAGTTTTGAAAAGCAAATGCTTTGGGATAAAATTTTTATTTTAAAATCTCTTTCATCAAATTCTATATTCTTCCACTGTGGTCTCCAACCAATGAAGTAATTACTCTTTATATACAGTATATGACCCAGAACTGCAATAGGTAATGGAATTGCTCTGGGTTGCATTCCAATATTTCATCCTTTTTTCACTAATGTTCAATACTTTATTAGTATAGAATAAATTGGTACATTTCTTTTATTGTCGTTTTTGCTTTCCTGTATAAACTAGCTTGGATGAAAGAAATATCATAGGGTAGTTAATCATCCAAAGGCTTAGTAGTGACACTGGTTGTTTTTTTTTTTTTTAATGCATTATTAAGGTTTCTTTTGAAGATGTAAAAAAAAAAAAACTACCCATAAAAAGAGCTATAACTATAAATCTGAGAACATGTGAGATTTATATTGTACAACTTTTTCTAATGATTCTATATAATTTTTTAAAATCTTGTTATTATATTTTAAATAGTCCATAAAACATCAATAACTGCAACTTGAAATACAGTGATTCCTTTATATTCACCTATTTTTCTATCCTATATCACAACAGAAAGTTAACTATATTTTTTCCAAAGAAGTATCTACTTCCTGGCTTTTACATATTTAGGAAAATTTAAAGACCTAAGAATCAATAGGAGTGTCTTACATATTTGGAGGATCCTGTTCATTGATTTTTTAAACTAAATGACAAGTGCCCCCATTCACTGATTTTGTTCCAAATGGGAAAAAGAAGCCAACGTGATAGGTGTTGAGATGTGTTTTGTGTGGATGGGATCCTCATGCATCCAGCTGTGCCCTACCATGGTCATTACTGCTGTTTAGGGGCCCTGCCAAAGTGGGCATCGTTGGTCCTGTTGACATCCTAGAAAATGAATCTGTTGAACACCTGTGCCGTATCGATCACAGCAGGCACGTAGAAAGTTTGCTTGAAATATTAATGTCATTACATTAATGTGATTTCACTTTCTAGGGTGTGATTGTCTTAAGAGTGCAAGGTATGTATAGGGCAGGAGAGGGACATCGGTTACGTCTTATGTTAGGACTGGCATAAAATGAAACTGTCCCTGCAAACCAGGGCATAGGCTCACCTTCCTGATGTCCTTGAGGAAGCATGCAGATGTGTCGCCCCAAAGAGCTCATCTTGATCATAAGTTTGCTTTTCCT